ATTCATAAGAAAGGGAATATTAACTATAACAAATATAATACAAGCATAAAAATAAACAAAAAAGCACAAAAGATCAATAAAGAAAAGAAGAAAAAGAAGAAGAAAGACGAACGTGAACAAGGCGCCCGTGCACAGACGAGATAAAAGCGGATTCCCAAAGGCGGCAGTTTCAAAGATAATTTGGCGGAAATTTTCTCGGGATTCGACGCAAGTACACCTGAATAAAAAAAAAAAAAAAATGAAGAAGAAATAAGAAAAAAAGAAGAAAACTATGAAGGAAATGAGTAATGAAAATAAAAGGGAAACAAATAGGAAAAACAGTTAGAGAAAAAAAACAAATAAATAAATAAATAAATTGTATTTATCTTACAAATCTGTTAGTGTAATATAAAGAAGAGAATCAAACAAAGAAGAAGCGATAAAGCGGCTGGCGCCCATCTGTATAGAATACTCCGCCTGCTGCATCAGCAGCTGGTACGCCGTCAGCATTTCAGAGGCGATCACCAGCACCCGGCTAACGCCATACTAAAACACAAACAAACAAACAAATAAATAAATAAATAAATATATAAATACACTCAAACACACACACATTTCATAGGCATGTAACTGTAACAGCAGCAGCTGAAACAGCAGCAATCAATACAAGCAGCAGGGCGAGTAGGGGTAGCAGCAGCAGCAGAAACACGAGCAGGAGCAGGAGCAGCAGGAACACCAGACGCAGCAGCAGCAAAAGGAATAGGTGTAAGGGGAGCAGCAGCAACAGACGCAGGAATACGACCAAAGGCAGCGGCAGCTGAAACAGCAGCAGCAGCAGCAGAAACAGTAGCAGCAGCAGCAGAAACAGCAGGAACAGCAGCAGAGACAGCAGCAGCAGCAGCAGCAGTGAAACGAGTGGCTGTGAATGATATCCATAGAAATTTGTGTTGTTTAGTTTTTGCATGCAACTTGAACAGACACCGCAAACAGAAGAAAAAAGCAGAAAGAGAAAACAAAAATAGAAAAACAACAAAAAGAAAATAACGCCGCATATAAACAACAACACAACTAAACAACATATATAAGATAAAGCGACGGAATAAAGATATATCTCCATAAACAACAAAACAAAATGCAACAAAGTAGACATGTCTGTATAAACAAAGGATACATATACCTATATATATATATATATATATATATATATATATATATATATATATATATATATATATATATA